GTATAATTCCGTTTTCATGGATGCCTGGAGTAAAACTCAATTGTTACACCTGTAGAGAAGAACGCTGATCATTTTATTAAAGATGAAAGATTTAGAAAGTTTTTCAACTCTCAGTAATGCCATAGTGATCGTTTATATATGGACCTGAAGCGGAGTTTAGGAAGAAGAGGTAGTGAGTCAGATGAAGAGGATTGTAATTTGTCGGATAAGATGTCTTAAATCTGGGAGTAATGGGTTAAATGTATGTTCAGGTAAAAAACATGAATCACATGAGAGTTAAAAACTGTCTAAATTTTTTCATTTTAATAAAACGATCAGCATTGTCGTTTACCAGGTGTAATATAAAGTTTAATTTCCAGGCATAATGAAAACAAAAGTTATTAAATTTAAGGAGTTAGAAGTTAGAAGGAAGTAGGGAAGTTAGGGAAGTTAGTCGCTAGTTTCGCTAGTTACCTAAGCATGATATAGCATGTTCTGACTGAGAGATTTCTGAAAAAAATCAAACGTACAGCTCTGCTATCACTTCCAACATAAATGAAGACAGGAAACTAAACAGCAGTGACGTTTGTAGGGTTACTGAAGTTGGGCTAGCTGGTATATAATGATGTGCTACGTGATCGCTAGCGACACAGCTATGTTAGCATAACATAAACAGTGAAGCTGGAGGACGAACACTAACACTTTTCCACTTATAAAAGTTAACGTGAAGGTTCTCGATGGTTAGAGACAAATGCAATCGCATGGCAGGATGCTGTAAACGGACCAAACTTCAGTCAGGAGAACAACTGAGATAATCCATCCACAATACGAGGTTAGTCATTAATATACTGCAACAACATGGGAATAGAGCAGCTGCCAGAGAATTCAACATTAATGAATCAATGGTACAGAAGTGGAGGAAGCAAGAAGAATGAGTTTAATAAAGTTTGATTTATCTGACTGCTTTGTTTCGCTTAATGTGCCTTATAATCCTGTGCACCTTATGGTCCGAAAAATGCGTACTGCACACTGCAGTTTAATGTTGCAAAGCACCTCTTTTTAACTTCAGTGGATATTATACATGGTTATGCTCAGGATATGTCAGCCATTTCTACTGGAAATGCCTTTTGGTTAAACTTTCAGCAAGGAATTTGCATTTGCACTGTTACATTTTTATAAAGCTTTAATGTACATAAAAACCAGCTTCTTGTTTAAGTGAAAATAAATGGAAGGTTGTCTTTTTGCGCTAGTAATGTTGTGGAGTTGTATTTTGTCTCGCATCAATTATATCGTCAGTTATATCGTTATCGCAAATTTTCAAATATATATCGTGATAAATATTTTTGGCCATATCGCCCTGCTCTAACCGGCGGTCCTGTTTTTTGTTTTGTTCCTAGTCCTGTTTAACTCCTCTCTGGAGGGGAGAGGGAGGGGAGACAGGAGGACAAAGGAGGGGGGAACAACTAAGCTGTAGTGCCTCTTCACCTCACTGTGCAATACTTTTTGTAAATAGTCAACAGTGCAATAGACTCAATACTTGAAATGTCCAATTCACTTGTATTTTTATTTTTATTCCTATTTATTCTATTTATCCCCTTTGTATATTTTATTTATATTGTCTCTGTATTTATATATATATGTGTGTGTGTATATATATATAATATTCTGTAACTCTGTAACTTCTGTCGGTGCTGTGCTTTTTTGGAAATCAAATTTCCCAGAGGAACCCACCCGAGGGATTAATAAAGTTCTATCTAATCTTAGTCTAGATTATCAGGACCAGTTTAGGGGTGGAGCCTAGTTGGTCATGGTCGTCCTCCATCTGTTTTAGCCGGAGCGCTTGTCTCATCAGGAACACGTCGCCAAATACAAAAAATGAACAAAGGTGTGAAAAGTCTTAGTTCGGTGTTTCATTTGACACGTGTGGCAGGAAGTTGTGATATATAAGTATAACTGCTCACGCCGAGCATCACAGTCACATGACGTTCATAGCAGTTACAGGAGTTATTTAGCATTAGCATTTTCTTTGGTTCACTTACAAAAGCAGCAGACCGACAGCAGCCCCCCCCCCATAAGACCGACACATACCGATGTCCGAGTCGTCCTCTGCCTGCAGCCGGCGGGCCAGCAGCTTATCTTCCTCCATCTGCTGTAAACGAACCGCAGCCTGCTGCTCCTCAGTGATGGAGATCTGCTCCACCCCAGCTGCAGGAGAAGAGATGGAAAGATTTAAGAGTTCATCAGTTATTGAGTCAGAGTTTAAAACCCTGAAATATTCAAAGGGTAACTCGATGGGACTGAATGATCTCCTCATACCGACGTCATGCCCGTCTACGCTGGCAAATTCTATAGAATTACATAAAGTCCCCACCCCCACGACCAGAGACGGGCAGTAACGCGTTACAAGAAACGCGATACTGTAACCCGATTACTTTTTTCAAGTAACGAGTAAAGTAAGGGATTATTATTGCAAAAACGGTAATTAGATTACCGTTACTTTCCCGTAGGAACGCTGCGTTACTGCGTTACTAAAACCGTGATTTTTTTGCGAGAATGTCTCATGACAGTGACGTAAGCGAGTGCGACGTTGTGACAACAGCTGTGTGCAGATCAACAATGGATCATCATATCGAGTGCAGAGAGAGTATGAGCGTGCAGCGTTTAAAGCGTGGAAGTACTGACCTTACTTTGAGTTTGATTCCATAAAAAGTGACAAAAACATTAGTGTCCGCTGTGCGTGGGAAGAAAACTTCTTTTTACAGCGAAAAAACCCCTAAACTTCCAAGCAAGCACCGAGTAGCTACGACGTAATGGGAAACTCACAGAGAAACTCGCGGATTCTTCCACTGACCGCGCGCACACCTGCACCAGGGTAACACCTCCGCCTACCCACTCCTGCTTTACAGGTGAAAATAGAGCAACAAGGACCGCTGAGTCTTTGACTTTATTTATTTTCTGCTGTGTTTTACTTGCATCTATTTGAAAGACTGAGTGTAAACACAAAAAATATTTTATTTTATGTGCTGGAATGTGCAGAAAATAGGTTTAAATGTTAAACTAATTTCTTCCAGTCAGAGAATGTTGCAGATAATTAAATGTTTGCTTGATGCATAAAGTTAAAAGATTAAAACTAATAAAACAAGTTTAAAAAGAGACTTTTCCATTTGATTACATTTTGTATGATGGATTATGCAGAAAAAGTAGAATTGGGCTGAGAGATCTATCGCTTTATCACCTGTTCAGGGTGTAAATCGTGTTTTTAAAAAGTAACTAAGTAACTAATTACTTTTGAAAATAAGTAATCAGTAAAGTAACGGGATTACTTTTTTGGGGAGGTAATCAGTAATTAGTTACTGATTACTTTTTTCAAGTAACTTGACCAACACTTGCCATGACATTTACCAAATTCTGAGTCGGCTTCTAGCTGCAGGCGTCGGGCCAGCGCCTCGTCTTCCTCCACCTGCTGCGACCTCCTCATCGTCACTGATGATGATGATTAACTGCTCCAGTACAGCTGCAGGAGAAACGACTCATCAGAAAACCGTCACTGATTACAAATGCAGGTTTTTAACACCATGGATCTGTGCAAAGAGCCCAGTGATAAAAACAGCAGATTCTCCCTCACCTGGAAATCTACACCAAAGAAGAAGAAGGATGAGGGGGGGGGGGCTCCTGATAATGAACACAACTACAGACTTGAAGGTCCTAAAAGATATAACAGGAATTATAACAATATGTAATTTATGAGCCAGTTACAACTACAATAATGCAGTTAATCAGCGAACCAATAAGAAAATTGAAAATAAAGTGTCGGAAATGTAACATCTGCCTCAGTAAAACTGAAATACTTGGATTCAGTACGATAACGTGCACTTCAGTGAAGAACTTGGGTAAATGTTCCTGGTGGTTGGTGATCAGGGAGGGTGCCACCCCATGCACTCCTGTCCCCGGACACGCCCCTGGACTGACGGTGTTTGGATGTTCCGGTGGTGCAGGGGTGTGTCTATCGGCACATCTGCCCCAAACCGAGCGTCTCTCAGAGACGTGTAACTGCAGGATGAAGCTCAGATCAGGAGGAAACACTGCGCCTAAGTGTCAGAGGGGATATTTCCGGGTGGTTTGGGGGAGTTTCCTGTAAAGTCTGACTCTGTGGGTCCGAATCCTTTCTCAGTCAGCCACACTTTCCTCTCTGATTTCTGATTTCTAGCGCTTTCACAAAAAGCTGAAGGGAGAAAGGATCCGGATGATCCGGCTGTCACGGCCGAGGAAGTGAAAGTAAAAGTTTGTGATTTAAGCTGATTCATGACGCAGCGGTGAAATCATGAGAATGAAAGCTGCTAGTTTAAACTATAGTTACTATAATAACCATAATACGAACAACAGAGGAGAGCACAGAGCACCTACCTTGACTGGAGGTCTGCATTTGATACTCAGAGAGGCACACGCTGGGTGGAAGGGAAGCTCTCCAACCTTTATACATATACGTGACGTGTGACAAGCCCCGCCCACTCTTTAATTAGATCTGAGCGGCTCTGACGTTTAATGAGAGAAGAATAGAGACACTGTGCAAACGAGCTGGCCCCAGTGTTTTCTGGCAT